ATATATATATATATATATAAAGTTTTAAATTAGCTTTCTGCTTAAAATTTGAATGTCAAATATCAATAGATATATATATATAACACCTACTACTTCACTAGTAGCCATAAAATCTTCAAACAAATATTATTACCATAATGACGTTTGACTACAATAAGACTATAGAAATAAATTATTACTCCCTTCGTCTATTTTTAGTTGTCATGGTTTTCTTTTTTTAGAGTCAAACGATAAGAACTTTGACTAACATTTTACGATTTATTTTTTCATCATATTGATATGTAAAATAATGCAATATATTATACTTTTCGTATAGTTTTTGACTATCTAAATTTTTTGTTTAAAATATCGAATTAAATTGACTTTCAAAAAGCACAACATGACAACTAAAAATGAATGGAGGGAGTATTATTTTCAATTTTTCTTGCCAACCAAAATTTAAGAGTCAAAAGTAAGAGAAAAAACAAGATTAATAAAAGTATTTCCTTAATTATATCATTATATATGTCCTTGTTCGCAATAAATTTTCGTAAGCGCTGAAAATTGACTGCAAGCAAAATAAATAAAAGAAAATGTGATTTTTATTGATGAATCTTTGTGAGTACAATTTTGTTGTTCTCTTGATTCTTCTCTCCTAAGTTTCTCTGTGATTCGAGGGCCTTCAGTAGCGTATTTCTCGAATGTAGGATGATGTAGACCTCCTTGAGTTGTATTTGATCTCCGGGAACGTCGGGAAGCACTTCGTCGTTGCAAGTTGATCTCCGGGAAGAACTTCCATTGATCACTCCTTCGAAGAGCTATGTAGGTGATGTTGTAGCTTATGTAGACCTCCTGGAGATGTATTTGATCTTCGGGAACGTTGGGAAGCACTTCGTTGTTGCAAGTCGATCTCCGGGAAGAACTCAGTTGATCACTCCTTCGAAGAGCTATGTAGTTGATGTAGCTTTCTCCAATTGCAGAATGCTTGTTGAAGAGTTTTATTCTTTTGAATGTCATGTCTATCCCCTGTTTATAGTTATAGGGAGTGGACAAGGTTTCTTGTGATTGACCAAAGGATGTCATTTTGACACTTGGCGCATTGTGATTCATTTTTGCATTTGACTGGAACTACCACCTCATTTGGACACGTGGCATCACCTTGTTAGTCTTGGATGCCTAGTCATTGTGACATGTGGCATAGGTTTGGGCTTCAATGTGAAATGGACCTTGGACTTGAAGGTAATAAAAATGGACTTATTTATTTGTAAATCCAAAATTAATCATTCAACCCAAACCAACATGAATTTAATCCAAATTTCGTATGAATTAAATCCAACAAAATTTATGTATCTATAGATGCCCCCTACTTCAAGCCTTGTTGAAGTGTAGGTTTGCCGACACTTGATGCGAGACGTGAAGTATTATAAATCCAACAATATCACTCTTAATACATTTGCTTGACTCCATTTCTTGCGATGAAACAAGTTGCATGGTACGGTCATGTGCAATTCCATTTTGATGTGCTCCTAAGGACTTTTGTTATTTCAATCCACTCGAGGGATGACATGGAGGACTCTCTCGACAGAGGGATAAGCAAATCAATGTGACAAAGTTGTATGAATTTTAAATTCAAAAAACTTTCACCATAGACTTGAATACAAATTTGGACACCAACACTTAAAGTCTCACACAAGTCCTCAAAGTTGAATTTTAAATAAAAGAACATAACTTGATTTGTTTCTTTTTTTTTTGCAAACCTTCAACTTGGAAACAATTGGTAATTTAATAATCACACCAAATTTTCTTTCCTTTGCTTGATTTTGTAAGAATCATTCTTGAAATCTTAAGACTTATTGCTTTCCTTTTGAGTTCTAGCAACTTCAATTTTTATTTTTTTTGGTAACCAATGTAAAATATTACCATTACCACAGAATACCAATACAAATAAAGAGCACCCATTTCTGATATCATAAACTAGGCCTCCAACAAACAACAAAACTAACTACAAAGTAAGCGATGCATAAAATGTTTACATTTTTGTGCTTTCCTTGAACTACTGAGGAACTGTACTCTCTCTATAATCTCTTTTTTTATCTGAGCTACTGCCTCCTCTGTATGTACATGCTTCCCTTTAAACTTTTTCCAGTTTCTTGCACGCCATGTGTGGTAGAGAATAGCCCCACATATAGCTGCAAATGTCTCTTTCTGAAACTGTTTCCAATGCTTCCTTTTTGTTCTCTCCAAAACCTGTTTAATCCCATTGTTTGTCATTGCTATGCATGTCCACTGTGCTATCCCCTGCCATACATCTTTTATCCATTTACATGTCTCAAATAAATGCACATTATTCTCCATTACCTTCTCCTCACAAAGGCAGCAATCAGAGTCATCAACCTGGATGTGCAATTTATGTTTATGTTCCTGTGTGAGTAATCTCCCTTGTATAGCCAACCACACCATAAATCTATGCTTTGGAATTGCCACTGCAGTCCACACTAAATCTGTGATTCTCATTTGTGGTATATGTCCTATGATTGCCAAATAACTTCTTGTGATAGAATAGGTACCATTTGATGTCAGAATATATCTACCCTGGCTATATCAGCCATACATCTGTTCCTTTATTGCATTAAGCTTCCTCCAATACCAACTACTATCAATAGGTGCCCTGTGACTCCATATCATGGTTTCCTCTCTAAGATAAATTCCATGTACCCATTCCACCCACAAGGTTTCCTTATTCATTACAATCTGCCTTACTAACTGTCCCACTGATGCAATGTTCCAGCTGCTACTGCCCTTGATATTTAGACCACCTTG